GGGCCTAATTGTACATGCTTTGCCCCGTTTTACTTAGATGTTTGTGCCAAATTCACTCCTAAAAGGTTGGTTTTACGTTAGGTTCCCCGTGTTTTAGTGTGTTTCAGGATTTGACAGGTAAAACCAGCCTCGGAGTCGAAAGATTGGCGTTAAAGGATCGAAAACCGGGAGAAGAGGTAAAAAAGAGCCAGTTCACGGCTAACAAAAGGGAGTTCACGGTCTCGCATGAGCGTGAATAAGAGGAGTTGACCGTGAATCGCGAGGCATCCAGAGCCAAAGTGAAGGTTACTGACGCAAGGTGAGTTCAGGGTCACTAAGGCCGTGAAGAAAGGCAATTGACCGTGAACTCGAGTGAACGATGCGGCGCATTTTGGCGCACGCCTGTAGTTCATGGACGCGTTTCATGGTTCACGGCCGTGAACTCATCTCTGGTTGAAATGATGAGCTGAAAGGAGGAGAGAGGGGGGAGCCCATTTGGTGTGAAAAGCCTTCTTCTACATTCTAGAGAGAGAAACACGAACCAAAGGGAGAAAAAGGCTAGGGTTTAGCTTTAAGGCAGATTTTGGGAAGATTTCCTCCTAGGAAAGCTCAACTCAAGGGCCAAGAAGACCGGGAGCATCCTCCAAGGTGGTTTCCATCTCTTTCCCTTTTGTTTTTCCCACTTCTAGCATGAAGTAGACCTCCTTTCACTTGGGTGTTGTGAAACCCTAACTCTACCATGTAGTTTTCTTTTATGTGTTTTGGATGATTGTCATTGGGTATTGTTAAATTCAATGAATGAGGCATTATTCATCATGATTGTGCATGCTTGTGCTTAGCAACCTAGGGGTTATGCATATTTTGTGTTTAGCATCCTTAGGTTTGTGCATATTGGTGCTAGCAATCTAATTAGCCACCTTAACCTAGCTTAGATAGGAAAATCCCCCTTCCAAGGGAGACTCAATCGAGTTGGTTTTCCTTCTGCTTTCTAAGCCACCTAAACTAGGTTAAGCGAGGGCAACCCTCAATATTGAGTTAAGAAAATCGGTTAATCGTGATTAAGTCATCCGACCTTAGAGTTGAGTGAGGGAGTAAGTCAATTACCGATTGTCTAAACCGAGAGGGTCGAGTGACACAGCCTTTCATGCTTACCTCGGTTCAGCAATTGAGATTCTGGTCTCCAACCATATATGCATCCCTCTGATGTTCACGATTATCGTGCCCAAAGCAATTGTTCCAATTCACATAGCATGGTAGCAGTTAGGAGGAAGCGACACCCGAGTGATCTTTCCACCAAAGAGTTATCAAAACCATTTACCTTTGCTTTCTTTCATTTCAATTAGCAAACCTTTAAACCAAAGTTTTGTTGCTAGATAATGATTTCAACAACTGAAGTAGGAGTAGACGGACCGGCCCGGGTCGATATCTAAATACTTGCCCTATACTGCACCCTATTAAAGTTTAAAAATTTGGACTTTAGTTGAGATTTTATTGTGGTGTAGTTTCGTGCGAGTCAATTTCTAAATCCGAAGAATAGAAAAGAAACTAGAGCTAGAACCATCCATCTCACAAGGAAAGGAAGAATAGAAGACACACAAAGGGGACTGGTGACGAGAGGAAAGCAAAGCAAGAAAGGGCAAACTTAAATGGAAAAGGCTGGAAAAGAAACAAGGAATAAAGCAAATATTAGCAAGCAACAAGTTGTTTTGTGGAATTTTGTTGGATTTAAATTTTTCATCAAATCTTTTACTTAACCCTTTATTTTATATAAAGGAGTTTGGTCCAATAACATGTTCGTTTACATATTAGGAATTTGAGTTGGGAAACGTGTGTATATAGGTTTAGACCGAGGGGATTGAATACATAGAAGGGAAACTAAATATTATACTGTCTGAATCACATAGTATGGTCTGAATTGGTAGCTTACGGGTAGGGCTGTAAATGAGTCGAGTCGAGTTTTTGCTTAGCTCGAGCTCGGCTCATTTATAAAATTTTTAGATCGAACTCGAATTTTGATCATCCAGCTCGAGCTCGACTCGATTAAAAATAATCCAACTCGAGCTCGGCTAGATAGAGCTCGGTAAAAGCTCATTAACACAACTTGTCAAGCTAAGTACAAGCTCGACTCAAGATATGCTCGATTTGAAACCATTCTTGCTAAAAAATGTGTACAAATAAGAACATTAGAAATTAAAAATGATAAAAAGAACACTAGAAACTAAAAATAACATCTAACTTCCATACACATCCTTATTAAAAAGATAATTTTCATGTTCAGAAGAATAATTAATCCTTCCACAAGTTTTAAACAAGCAGCTCGCGAGCTTAGCTCAACAAGTCACCGAGTCAAGCTAGCTCGCGAGCTTATCAAGCCGAGCATGGCCTAGATCAAACTTGGCGTGAGCCGGCTTGTTAAACAACGAGTCGAGTGTCGAACGAGTTTTTTCCGATTCAAACGCCGAGTTGCTCGCGAGCGGCTTGACTCATTTGCAGCCCTACGTACGGGCCTAACATATCATGTTGAGAAAAAAATGGACAATTTGTTTGATTTATAACCGAGAAAAAAATATACTCTCTTAAAATCTAAATTCCAAGTGAATGACAAAGAATCAAAGTCAGAGCAACCCAACTTCCTACCATAAACGTCTTAAAAAAATAAGATAAGTTCATATAGAGATTTGATCGTCTCTACTCTCTAGTTGAGTGTGATTTGCGTACGAAAGTGGGATGATATTTGCAATATTAGGGTTGCGACTTGTGTCCCATTTGGAGAGTGGGGAAAGTTGGTTGAGTTGGCTACTAACACTACTTGGGAAGTGAGTTGGGATTACAATCTAGTCCGCCAAAATACAGGCTGGCTCATACCAAACCAAGAGATAGAAAACATCTCATAATGCAAACTATGGACCAAACAAAACCACTTTTAGCATTCTATGTTTAGGATCGAACGGTACTGTCTGATTCGGTCCACAATTCGTTACGATCTAATCTATTTTCCGCGGGTTCCTTAATTTTCCTTTTCCCTCATAAAAGAAATAAGATAATTAGGTGGTATACTCTTTATATATATGTATCTTAGAATTTCTTTTAATGACCTATGCATTTGTTTATTATTTCCAATTGAACGATCCATTAAACCAATTAACAGAAAATTATAAATGGATCCAATTTTTTTATTTTTACTGGATATTGGGAATAGATGGACTTTCTATAGCACCGTCGATTTTCCTACGATCTTATTTATTTTCCCAATCCTATTGGACGATAGGGGTTATAAGACATATATAATAATTAATTGGTAGTTAAAGTGCGTACATAATATACCATTCTTCATAAATAGCTTGTATACCAAACCTTGGAGAAATTTATTTGTAACATTTACAGAGAGCTCTTCCTCGACTTGCTCTGCCTCCCTCTAAGAATTCATTGCTTATGATTTTCCTCTTGCCCCTGGCCCAGCAACAACTAACAAGGCCCGTATAGGGATATCCAAATACTACTGTCTGTATTGGGATACTGCTGCCGGTGGAGTACTTCAGTAGAAAGAATCCCAGTTGCGCGAGTGTCTGACATTTATTTAAAGGGTTAAAGACACATTTGGTCACTGAGATTACAAAATCGGGACATGTTTAGTCACTATAAAAAGTTAATATCAGATTTGGTCACTACAATTACTAAAATTGGACACATTTAGTCACTCGCCGTTAGTTGCCATCCAACTCCGTTAAAAGAGTCTGTTATGTGCTGACGTGGCTAACGTGAGCGCCTAGTCAGAGCCGTTTTGGGCAAGAAATGGTCAAACCAGACCCACCACGTCACTAAACCCGCCACATATTAAACCCAACCCAATCCATTAACCCAACCCGACCCAGAAATAAATCCTAACCCACCTAAACGACCCTTTGGCTTTTATCGAGATTTGCGACGGGAGGCCAATTCGCTCACTGGAGAGGCCGAGTGCGCCTTCTACCCCGGCGGCTAGGTTATCGAGCCCGAAGACGGTTTCGCAGGCGAAGATGAAATTGGGGATTGAGATGCGGGGCCCGCCGCGTGCACCGCTCGTGGAGGTGGAGTGAAGCGACACCGTATCGAGGGCGACTTCGGACCTGCCACCTGTCGTCCGGATCGGGTTACGGGTCAGGATGATGCAGGAGTTGTTGAAGCAACCCGGCTGCGGGGGGAGGAAGTAGGGGGACTTGCATTCGGCTTTGGAGACGGAGCAGGCGGCGGAGCCGCAGCGGGCTAGGCGGTAGGTGGAGGAGGAATTGGAGAAGCCGCTATAGCAATCGAGCCAGAGCTGTCGGCCGGCGATGTCGACGATGAAGTTATGGGAGACTTGGGGAGTGCCGAGATCGAGGCGGGTGAGAATTTGGTTGGTGGCGCGGTCTTTGGTGAGCGGGAGGATTAGGGATCTGGGCTTGGATTGTGCAATGGTGGAGATGGTGAGGGTGGAAAGGATGAGGGAGAGGAGAATTATGGAATGGGGAAGGGACACCATTTTTGTGCTGATTGAAGGAGGAGTAGAGGTGTGTAAATTGAGAAGAAGATTGGATTGCTGTGGGTTTTTTTTTTTTGTGAATGTAGATCAGATTGTTGTGGAGAGAAATGAGAAAGGGGTTTTTTTTTAATTTTCTAGTTGGGTTGGGATTTGGGGGAAGAAATGTAACAGAGGAGACGAACGGATTTGGTGTTGGGTTAGGTTGAATAGGTTTGAGGGAGGAGGTGGGAGGAAGGAGGAGAGCAGCTGCAGTGGTGGTTTTGGGGAAAGGAGGAGGTGGGAGGAAGGAGGAAGAAAGGTTGGGTTGGGTTGGATTTAATGACGTGGCGGGTCGGGTTTTATTTTTCTTGGGTTATATCTGGCTTATTAGGCAATTCTGTTTGCCCCATCAGCACTTAACGGACTTCATTAACGGAGTTGGAAGGAGACTAACGGAGAGTGACTAAATGTGACCTGTTTCAGTAATTCAAGTGACTAAAATTGATATTAATTTTTTCTAGTGACTAAACATATCCCGATTTAGTAATCTCAGTGACCAAATATGTCTTTAACCCTTTATTTAAAACATAAACTGTGTTTTTACAGGCCATATACCATCTGTAGTAAGTGCACAGAAGACGTTTGCTAATGCAGTAAGAGAAAAACAATCCACTCATTGGTTACACATTTATCAGATGATATATATTGCTTTGGCAAGTCCTCTAGTGGAGCTTCCCCGGTCCAGAATGCAGCTGGACAGTCCTGCTCGGGACAACCTGAAGTACACCGGGTTGTCCTGCGAACGAAACAAAAACACAAAAAGAAGTAAAAGGGACTTGTCATTCCATTTGAGATTATTAAACCAGTGATGGCTTGGATGCAAAATGTTGAGCAACAGAACAAAGAGGCTTCAGCACTGTAACAAATGACAGGTCTGTATCACATTTGCTTGTGCGACTCTGCTATCTATATATAAAAGCAGAGCACAACATCTGGGAATTAACTCGTCATCAGCATATTCAATCCTATTTTCTGGAAAACATAATCCGGGCAAAGAAGCCTTCACAAGAACTCATTCAAGCGAATCAGAAATACGTTACTAACATAAGGAAGATACATTAACCGACATCGTGAGCCAAGCAAAGGGATCTCTCAGACGATTCAACATCTCCTGAAGATGCAATCAAAACAAACTTCACAGAAGTATGGCAACAGAAGTCATGTAGCTGAGAAAAGGTTATCAAAAGGACTCCCAAAGGGTGACAATCGGCAACAAACAGGTGCCATTACCAAAGGTACAACAACCATCAAACCCTAATTCAACTCAACCTTCCACCAATTGAGCAACAAAGTAAGTTTCTTTCGAAATCAATCAGCCAAACCATACAGCCCATCAACGAATCCTCAATTCAAAGCCGCATGAGACAATAATAACCAACTTTGGAACTCCAATTTTATGCTTCTAGATCATCGAATTCTAGACAAGGAAAAAGCAAAATGGAGCTGAAGAAAAATCCCACTTACTTGAGATCTGCTCGACCTGCTCTGGAGTAAGCTTAGCTGAGAAGCCAGACGCAGCCGTCTTGTAACTGTACAGCATAGCATCCTTCGCAGCCTGCTCGCTGTGATTCCAATCAAACAAACAAACAAAAAAACTCTCAATTAACAAGCACTAAAGACGAGCAAGAGCAGATGATTTATCGGCGGCGTAATCGAAGAGAGACGGACCTGCCGAGGACGGAGGCGAGGGTTCGGATGTGATAGGCCTCCGGCTCTTCATTCCCCTCCGGCCTCTCGGTGTAGACGATGTGAACAGCGGCGGAAGCCGGCTGGGCGGAGGCGGAGGCGGCGGCGGAAGGAACGGAGTCGGTCATGGTGGCGATCGCAGCGGAGACGACAAAGAAGAGCAGCAGCGGAGGAAGAATAGGAAAGGAATTTGGTGGGAAGGAGCGCATTCTGATCAATCTGCCGCGTCGATGAATTTTATAAAGGTAATCCGAATTTCTCTCTCTCTGTGTCTCTCGATTTTCTTTTTCTCGATTGAAATTCTTAATGAAGAAGCAAAGTGGAGTCCATTCCAATGGAAGGCATTTTCCCACATCGATTCCTCCGCGTCTCACATAGTCCTTTGATGCCCGAGGATGGATGGCTGGGCCTTTTTGGAGGCCCATTTCTTGTCATTTCTTTTCGCGACAAGTAAAAGGGTTATATGTATAATATGTTTTTATATTATGTCGTTTTATTAAACATGTCCATTTATTATTTTTTACATCTAACATGTCCTTATACTTTAGAAAAATTATCAAACATGCCCTTTTATTAAAATTTCTATTCAAAAAATTGTCAATCATGGTTGAACCGAGATTTAGACGACTCGACATCGGCAAACGGGAGGAAAAATGTCAGTTTTGTCCCCTGTTTTATTTCTCTGGGTCTCGTCAAAGTGAAATTATTAGAATTATTTGGTTATACAAAAGAGCCAAAAAAAAAATTCTAAAGTGAAATTAGTAGGGATATTTTAGAGATTTTTGTCGTCCAAACCAAAGTTCGACCGTGGTTAACGGTTTTTGGATGTAAATTTTGACAAAAGGGCATGTTTGATCATTTTCCCAAAGTATAGGGGCGTGTTTGATGTAAAAAATAGTAAAAGGGCATGTTTGATAAAATGACATAGTAGAGGGGCATATTATACCTATAGGCTATAACCCATTGTAAAATGAAGAATAATAACATGTTTAGTCTTCATTATACTTCCTTTAAGGACTTATATATTACTACATGTATTTATGTGCTTTATTATTACTTTTGACTACGGATGTCAATTAAAACCCGAATCAACAGGTAGCCAACCTAATCCGGCCAAAATAAGGGGTCGTTTGCTTCAAGGATTTGGTACATGGATTTGGTACCAAAAAACCAACTATCAAGAATTTAGGTACAATCCGTTGTTTGCTTGCACCTTTTTAGGAGACCAAATCCGTGGGGCCCACGGATTTTAAGGGTCCAAATCCGTGGACCCCACGGACTTATAAATCCCACAAGTTGATGTGGGATTTGGAATATGGCATAAATCCTTGATGAGATTTTACCCATATACCCTCATGCACTTTTAATATTCCAAGATTGCCCTCAAATTTAACTATTATACATTATAATTAACAATAAAAGAATAATATAAACGTTCAATTAATGTGCAAACATGAGTTAGATTTTTTATATCATTTCTTGTGTTCTAGTTTTCTTTGACCTTTTCATGGAACGTGTAATTCTTTGTTCTCCCGATTCTAATATATGTTGTTATATGTTACTTTTGAAAAGGAGGACAAAGAATTGGTAATTGATTATGTTACGTTAAAAGTTAAAACGGAATTTTCTCGTTTATTATTATTGTCCATGTGGCAACATTATGCTTATTAGTATGTATTGTCCTTGTTTTGTGTACATATCATAAACATGTCAAACATATAGAAAATGATAGTAAGGTAATTTTGAAGTTTTGTCCTTGTTTTGTGTACATATCATAAACATGTCAAACATATAGAAAAGGGCAGTAATGTAATTTTTGACTTCAAGTAGTAAATCCCACACCTTTAAATCCATGATAAAAACATTCCAACAAACAAAGGATTGTTACAAATCCATGATGCCTCAAATCCTTGATAAATCCTTGGGTTTTTAAATTACAAAACCTTCATTTTTAAATCCATGAAGCAAACGACCCCTAAGTAAAAATCGATAAGCACTTCTACTATGCTATATAGCATTGGTGCTTTAATGTACAACTCAAAGTTGTACCATAACATTAAATGTATAAGTTTAGGTTGTACCATAAAGCAATTTGTACCATTATGTTATGGTACAACTTTACAACTTGAAGTTGTACCATCACATAAAGGTACAAGTTCAAGTTGTACCATAAAAGAATTTGTACAAAAAGTATATGTACAATTTGAAGTTGTACCATAACGTAAATGTACAATTTGAAGTTGTACCATAAATGCAAAAACCTATAGCACCAATACTATATAGCATTGTAAAATTTCTCATTGATGAGTTTTGATCTGGTGTGGGTTTTATCCAATTTTGAAATTTGTAGGTTAGGTTGAGTTTGGGGTTTCCAAAAAATCAACCCACTTTTTCACTCGACTACACCCAAAAAGCAAAACGATGTTAGCATCATATGAGTTTTTGGATTCTTGCAAGTTTTATTCATATATTGTGTCATGAGTTTTTGGATTCTTGCCATTTTTACGTCTCGCATGCCTAAAGGTTGTCACAATTACCAGACCATGACAATTTCCCAGAGACCGTGATGTCAGACAGAAACGGCAGCAGTCTCCCGCGTTTTTGTCTACTGTCACGGTTGAACCTCCAATGTCAAGGCCGTGATATTCTTACCGTGAAAGTGACGGTCATGTTGTATAAATAGAAGGTAGCTGAGAGAGAGAAAAGGGAGTTGGAACTTGGTTGGGTTTTAGATTTTCTGGGTTCCCTTCTAGGGTTCCACCTAAAAACCCCTAAAAAGGAGGGAAAATCCTAGTGTGAGAGAGAGAGAGAGATCTTTTTCTTCTTAAGAGTGAGAAAGTGAAGAACAAAAGGAAGAAGAAAGAGATTTGGGTTTGCCCTAAACTAGAGTATTAAAGGTGTTCTTCTCTCAAGTGTGATTCAAGCATCAAGGAAGGAGGATAGTCACCACACCATGATTCTTTCTCTCTTCTTTGTAGTATTTATTTGCCTAGCTAAGGAGTAGTGTTCTCTTTCACTTGGGTATTGTGAACCCTAGCTTTATATATGTGATAGATTGTAAAGACTTAATGCTATGTGTGTGGGTTTGTGTTTTAATGCAAAGTTTGAGATACTTTCAGAATTCATGAGTTGTGTTCTTCATTTCTCATAACCATGTCAAATTGACCTAGGTGGTGAGAACCCCTCTTTTGTAAGAGGCTTTGAGAAGCTAAATTTCTTGGCCATTTGAGTCACCCACCTAGGGTAATTTAGGGCAAGCCTCAAACTTCAATTTAGCACCTTGATTTGGTTGTTAATTTGCCGTCCGCATTAAGTTTTGAGGGTTTAACCTCTGCAACCCTTAGGTGATGGGCCAAAAGAGCTAGTGCATAGCTTATGTATCATTCCTTGGCCTATCATCCGAGAGAGTGAAGTCTCTTCACTAGTTTCACCCTCCTAACGGTGTATGAACACAACTTTATACATCTGAATTCAATTCAATCGATCTTGATATACAACTAGGGGAAATATGCCCGGTGAATTCTTCTCTTATTGGGATAACCTCGATTTATTTTACTTTCTTGTTTACTTTGTAATTTTCTTAGTTTATAAACCCCAAACCGTTTGCTTGATAACAAATTAAACGATTGAAGTAGGGTGCATGAACCGGCCCGGGTTGACAATTAAAACTCTTTCTCTATATTACACCGGGCTATAGTTTATACTTAGGCTCTAGTCGGGAATTTATTGTGGTAGTTGGAATGAGTCAAGTTTTTGGCGCCGTTGCTGGGGAGAGTTTACGGTCCGTTATCTAGAAAAAGTTGTTTATTGTTACTTTAGCATTTTCTATCTCTTCTTTTGTTTTGTTTTGTGTTTTCATCTTTTGTGATGCAGAGTTGAGCCATGGATCCCGATAGCTTCTGCTACATGTGGGGGTATCAACCAACAGGTCCAACACCAGAATGGTGTTACGCTAAGCCAACATGGATCAATCAAGAAGGAGAAGGCTACGGATCCGGGGTTGACTACCAACTACCATCCTATGATGAACAACTGTATCCCTCGGATGTTTAAGAGTTCTATAAAGACTACCCTCCATAACATGAACTGCAGAGCCAATTGGAGCTATTGGTGGAGAAGTTTGCATCGGATAATGGGAGATCATATTATGAACCGGCCTTTCGAACCATGGACCCACCTCACTCGGATTTCCTCTATGAAGCGGAGAAAAATACACAAGAGCACGGAGAGGCTAAACTCGATGGTCGTGAAAGCTTGTGCACGTTTCACTCAAGACCGATTCTTAGTGGTTTGTGAAGAAAAGGAAGATGAAGAGGCAAGCATCGAGGACTGATTCAGGCCGAATTGTACATATTTTATCCCGTTTTCCTTAGGCGTTTGTGGCAATTGTGCTCCTAAAAGGGTGTTTTACACGAGGTGTCTTGTGTTTTAGCATGTTTCAGGATTTAACAAGTGAAACCAGCCCCAGAGTCGAAAGTTGGACAAAAAGGAGCGAAAACCGGGAGAAGAGGTGAAAACCGGCAGTTCACGGTTTCTCTTGGACGTTCACGGTCTGCTTAGACCATGAAGAAGAGTTGTTGCCCGTGAACATCAAGGCATCGAGGGCCAAATCCTAAGTTACTGACACCAAGTGAGTTCAAGGTCACTAAGACCGTGAATTGAAGGTGTTGCCCGTGAACCTGAGCAAGCGAAGCGGGGCGTTTCGACGCCAGCCTTGAGTTCACGGACTCTTTCAAGAGTTCACGGCCGTGAACTGAGGCCATGAACTAAGCTCGATCCCTGTTTAAAAGGAGAGCTGAAAGAAAGAGAGAGGGGAGAGCCCAAGAGTGAGAAAGTGTCTTCTTTAGCTTTTAGAGAGAGAAAGAACGAACCAAAGGAGAAGGAAGGCTAGGGTTTGCTCCAAGTGATGAATTGGGAGGATTCTCCTCAAGAGAAGATCAACACAAGTGCAAATAAGATTGGAAGCATCTCCATGATGGTTTCTACCTCTTCCCCTTGTGTTTCTCCCCTTTCTAGCATGGAGTAGTTTCATCTTTTCACTTGGGTGTTGTGAAACCCTAACTATTTACCAATCTTAGTTTTTGTTATGTGAATTTAATGATTGTTCATATGTGTTGTCATAACTGGGGTGCTCAATTAGTACGATATTGTCCGCTTTGGGCCAAGCCCGCACGGATTTACTCTTGGGTGTCCTCCCCAAAAGGCCTCGTACTAGTGAGCTTGGTGGACACTTATATACAAGGGTTCATTCCCTTGTATTTCCGATGTGGTACTTGGATTGTGCCATAACAATCATCCCCTCAAGAAAAGGACCACGAACTTCGTGTCCTCACCTCAGCGATTATCTTGATCCGCCAAATGCCTTGTATCGATGGGCTTCTCGGTACAAGGAATTTTCCAGACCCAGAACTCTCATTGATCTGCC